TAATATATACCGCTTTAGCTATTCTAGAACTAATCTAATATATTCTATATACTTCTGTCTATTGCGAGAATAGATTAGGATATTATTTAAATAGATAATATAATAAACATCTAGTAGATCGGCGAGAGTAGTATTAATATAGATCTAGAATATTACTAGAGCGTTCATTAGACTAAACGGTACTATATAATACTTATAATAGCTATATCTAGTCTAGAATATTGTCTTTTATTTATTTCTAGACTTAATCTAGATTCTATAATATATATCGCGTAAGTCTAACTTTATAAAGATTTTAGCGCGCCCTAGATAATTTAATAACTTTTAGATTAATAGGAGTGGGTATTAGTTCTTAATTATAATTACATTTAAACTATAACATTCTATATAAAGCTATAGTTCTCTATCCTTCTTTTTAGTAAATAGGATAGAAGCTTCTACTAGAGATATCAAAAGTTGAATCTAACCTCTTATTAGATATTTATAGATACATTCCTTTAATATAGGAATTTTTACCTTTAATAAGGCGTAAAGTGGGCTATATAGGGATAGATAACCTTTTTTAAGGTTAATAGCGAGTTTATATAGTCTATACTTAGGGAGTAGGGCCGCGTCTATTAAGGAGAATATATTCTAGTAATTCTAGTATTTAGCTAGAGGCTTTTTCTATATAGTAGCCCCTTCTAGACTAGTCTAGTCTATTACCACTATAGATAGGGCGTATAGACTCGAAAAGTCCTCTTTTAGGTAGGCGAGGAATCCTTCTACTAAGTCTAGCTAGATTTAAGGCTTCTTTTTAAGGCTAAGATACTTATAAAACGCTATTGTTTTTGCTCTATAGTTTATATTAGGGTTCTATGCCTCTAGCTATAGTACTCTAAGGATAATATTATAACTAGTAATGTCTCCTACTACAAACTAGTGTATTCCGGACTAAAATTAACTATTCTAGTTCCAGGTAGTATAATAAGCCTAACAGGTGCCTCGAATTTTTAAGGCCTAGCTATTTAAAGCTTAATAGATAGTAGTCTATTAATGATTAATCTTAATACTATATTTCTTTATAAGAAAGTAGCTTATAAAATTACTCTCTACTCCACTATCTAGAAGAGCTTCTATTATTTAAGAACTTCATCCTCCTTATATTTAGACGAGTATAGTAATAAGCCGGCTATCTAGCTATTTTTAGGCCCTTATAAGCTAGTTATCTACCTTCTACTCCTCTATATATAAGATCTAGCCCACTAGATATAGATAGAACATTTAGAGTCTATACTTTTAATAAGTATTTAGCTTTAGAATAGAAATCCTTTAAGTAATTAAACTAGCTATAACTCTAGCATTTCTTTTTAAGCTTATTAGCACTCTTTTTAGCCTTACTTACACTCCCTTTCTAGGGTTATATAATTATCTTAGACTTTTTCTAATCTTTATACCATTTAGAATTCGCCCGTCTTTTATCTTTTACCTTTTATATTAGAGAAGCAGGTGGAAGAGTCTATAATATAGACCCTTTAATCTTATTCTAGGCTAGTTTAGCCTAGATTTAGCCTTACTAAGCCTTAATTTAGTAGTAATAATTATTTATATCTACCTCTAAATTAATAAGCTAATTATAGTGCCGTCTAAAAATCTCTAGGCGCTCTTATAAATTAATATTCAAGGCGAAGAAAAAGTTACTATTATAATAATAGTTACTATTAACTTTTTAATTATTCTTATTGCAGTCGGCTTACTGTAACTTTAGATAATTAAAGAGTTTTGTAGAGCTCTAATATGCTTACTTTATATTCTTTATCTATAAAATAATCTACTATTTGCGTTTATATATATTTTCTATCAAATTGGGGATTTTTACCTTTAAAATAGCCTAGATTACGCTATCTATAGATATACTAGCCTAGTGCCGCTTCTACTACTTATACTAGATTAGATCTAAATAGAATTCTATAAATAGTATACGCGATTTCTCCGTTGGAAAACTAGCTAGTTATAAAATAAAATATTTATATATATATATCTATAGGTTCCACTATTAGCGGCTTTTCTCCTTAAACTTTAGAGGAAGCTCTAGTTTAGATAGCTACTCTAAATAAAAGTGCTACACTAGTGTAAATAGTATTGAATTAACCTAATTTAGGTTATTTAAAACCCTAGCTACCCTTACTAGCCTAGTATTAGCTAAAAATAGAGTTGTTATTACTATAATTAGATTATAATCTTTAAACGCAGCCTTTAACTGCGTAAGTTTAACCTTCTTTTCTTTTAGCTAAAGTGCTCTTTTTACTATAGCTATCTAGCAATTTAGATTCACTATAATTTCCTTCTAACTAGATCTAGATAGCCTAGTTTTAGATAGAATATTTAGGCTTTTAATATATTAAGCCTATTACTTTACGGATAACATACTACTACTATTCATAGATGTAAATCAAGAGCTCTAGACGGTTCTACTATATAGGGACCTTTAATTAACTATATTACCTATAATCTGTATTATCTAAAGAATAGGAGTTTATATATTAAAAAGAAGTTTAAGTAGGTTAAATTATAGTAATCTTAAGTAAATTTTATTTTTAAAGGTCTATAAACCGCTATTATTTCTCTACTATAGGGGATTACTATTTTATTCTATAGCGCGCTAGATTTATTTAGCCTAGATTACCCTATATCTAGATACTTTATAATAGAGCGCACTTTACCATTACTTCTCAGCAACAATAGCTTATATTTATAATAGTAACGCGATTATTAGCTAGCTAAATAATATTATAACCTTATTTTTATTAAGGAATATATATAGCGCTACTACTACTACTACTATTACCTTTATCTTTAAAGCTTCTTTATTCTTATTAGTAATTATAGTAAAGGATCTCTACTTTATTATCTTTATATTTACTACTATTTTACTACGGTAAAGCGTAGTTTCTATAGATATTAGGGTGGAGAATAGTAGGTTAGCTAGTAGTAATATTTATTAATAGTTAATTAATTAGCGGTTAAGTAGTTAAAAATTAATTAAGTGCTTATTGAGCTAAAATTAGAACTTTATTAGTAGTAATAGTAGTAGTAATAGATAATAAGATAGTAAGCTTCTTTAATACTATAGAATATATTAAATAGAATCATTATTTATTAGATTACTAACTAAATATAGCGCTTAGTAGATAAAAACTAAAATAGTGTTTAATAAGCATTATTTAGTGCTTAAAAAACCACTAAAGCCTCGCTCCTTGGCTAGCTATATTCAATCCGATAAGCACTAGTTCTTTAAGCACTAGCTGCAAAAGTAGCCTATTATATTGCATCAACTAGACAACTAGGAGTGCTAGGCAATAAGGTGACAGCATCGACCTCGCATTTAGCTTAAGCTATCACGTTGTTGCCAAATAAAGCGGGACCACGAGATTGCATTAACAAAACATCCTCATCTACTATCTTGCTTGCACATGTATTCAGATAGAGATAGCAAGATGATAAGCTGCTACAAGCTTAATTCGATGCATTTAGAGCTATATGATTGATGGTATTCGTGGTGGTTGAGGATTCGTGAGTTTGGTGAGTTTGCGGAAGTCCCGTTTAATTTGGCAACGACGTGGCTATACAACCCCTGCACCGACGTGATCGTGTTTTTAGGAAATGGAGGCTGTAGGCATAGCCTCACAGGTTTTAGCACGATTGCCTAGCTGCACTGCGCCGCATGAGCTAACAGCTAATGTCTTGGGCAGCATAGAACCTTGTACGACTTGCTGCGCCTGCGGGTGAGTGAATCTAGAATCAGATTGCCTTGTTGGTAGAATCACACAGCAGCAAGCCCCCGAAATTAGTACAAGTCGCAGCTGACGTGGACAATCGCCTCATAGAAGATAACACAGGCAGTGTAGTGATAGCTCAGCCTTGAGAGATAACCTCGACCGCCCGCCGCCCGTGGGTCTACCGACCACCCAGAAATTTTAGCCCCCAAAAGTCAAAAATAGAGCCTGCATATACAAGGGTGCTGCATGAGCGGGCTGGACGCCCACCCTGTCTAGTGTGGTACCTTCTTGCAGAAGACACAATCAAAAAGTACAGCGCTAGACAGGATAGGCGTCCGACCCGCTTATGAAGCCCCCTTGTAGGCACCGATAGGTGGCGCACCTTGTGTAACCGGATGCCTGAAAGCGCCGTCAGAAAACTAGTAATAACGCCGACCTGCGCCAGTTGTCGCCATCTGCCCAGCTAGCCGGTGTTCATCAGTACATCTTGTCTTCCCGTACCCTGGCATAGTGACATTAGATCCCTTATTGGTACAGCTCGCACATGGCAAGCAAATCTCGAAGACCAATTCGGTAATTCCAATGGCATCGGATTTGGGAAACCGAGATGCGAACGAGGAATCATTCGAAGATCCGTCACTCGAAATTACTGAGGTGACCGAGACTTCAAGCAGCAACCAGGACAGTACAAGTGCCTCAGCAAATCCCAACGAGCAAGCATTCGAAGGATCGTTACTTGAAACAGCAGAGGCGATCGAGACTTCAAGTAACGACAAGAGCAATGGAACTGACCAAATAAATGCTAACGAGCAATCAAAAGAAGGGCCGATACTCGAAACAACTGGCGTGACCGAGACTTCAAGCAGCGACAAGCACAGCAGAATTGCTCCAGCAAAAAACCGGGGTTGTACTCATCCGCCAATATTCCTGTCAAGGCCAGTGCAATCCGCGTTTCTGGGTATATTCCTCAGTCTCATCATTGCTCTCGCCGTCCTTTTCGCTATATCTCGTAGCTACCAGGGATTGAGCACGGCCGACTCAAGTTACTACTACCTCTGGACCTATGGGCCGACTGCTGGTGAGTGCTTATTCGATTGGGTTTCTGTAATGTCTGCTAACCGATCGCAGTTTTTACCCTCATCGCAGCCCTATGGGGTCAGGTAGAGTATCGAGCCAAGCAGGTAAACCAAATGCCCCCCACAACCCTTACCGGCGCTGCTTAAGTCTGACAGCATGAAGGTAATGCCCTGGGCTTTGATGGCTCGTGAGCAACAGACAGCAGAGAATAGTCTGATGCTGGATTACGTATCTCCGTGGATCTTGTCGAGCCTGTATCAGTCCATTCGCGCGTCACACTTCCCAGTTGCCGTTGCCGTAACCGGAACGGTTCTGATCAAGATCATGACGATCTTGTCTACAGGCCTGCTCACACTCGCCGTTGCCCCGATCCACAATAATGGCACGGCGCTCATCGCACTGGACAAGTTTCGCAACAATCCATTCAATATTTCCTCCGTTGTCTCCGCGCCGGTCGCTGCAGTCTGGGCCGCAAGTGTTTATAACACAACACTGCCCTTCGGAACGACCAGGGATTTTGCGTTCCAATCGTTCAAGACCACTAATCGTAAGTGACCAGCGGACGTGCAACTCGGATAAAGGCTGATGCTGATCACATTCTCAAGCCTCCAACTCTACTATTACTGGCGAAGTGGATGTCATGTCTGCAGACCTTGACTGCGAAACAGCAGATCAGATTTTGGTGAAAGACAATGGCCCGTACCAGGGGGCCGACATCGAGATCTCGTCGCTGTCTTGCTTCAACATCTCGTTGCATCCCTATATAAGCAAGTCCCAGAACAACAGTCAGATCTTCAGCTCGTTCTCTGAACAAACATGCCATGAGGTACCGTCCAGCACCTCTAAACGGCGCCTTTTGTTCGCCATTGGACAACTGGAATATCTCGATATCAGCATAGACAACGATACATCTCCTGAAGAGTATAAATGGGTTTTGTCTCAACAAAAAGCTTTGGTGTGCAAGCCTTCCTACGTAGCCGAAAGAGCTGCCGTACGTTATAACCCGCAAGGTCTTGCCCAGGGTTTTCTTCCAGACGTTTCAGTTATCCGGAGTCGTCCACCATCTATCGCTCCTAGGCTGGATCCCTGGGCCATTACGGAGGGCTTCCTCCAATCTCTAAATTTTGCCGGCAACGAGTTTCTTGGCTCGCCGGTAGGGTGGGACCGTGATTGGGCAATATTGCACTTCATGAACGCAACAATGCCTGATCTAAGCTTCAACTGGACCGATGATGGCTTGAACGACGGCCTTAGTGAGGGCGCAAGTCCTAACAATGATATTACGGTTGTTGGTCCTGCTTTGCGTCAATACTATCGCACAGTCGCCGCACAAGTCATCAAGGCATATATGATGGTTCCCGCCAATGAGCCTTTTCAGGGATTCTCAACGAGTGATGAGAGTCGCATATTTGTCAGGCAACTCTCATTCTGGCTGATTGAACTGATTCTCCTACTGCTTCTAGGATCTGCTGCATTCCTCTGTTGGGCTGCGGCGTCGATGTCCCTTCCCACCGATCTCAGCTTAATCGGCGGAGCGGCCACCGTTTTCGCGAGGAGCCCGTACATCATGTCATTGCTCCAAGGTGCAGGCACTCTCGACGTGCCAGCGTTGTGTCAACGCCTTGCCGGCCGAAGGTACTGGACTCAACTTTCTGTCGGAGACCCCGTGCCAACATTTCGTATTGAGGGGATATCATCACTAGAAGAATTCTGTGAAAGAAAAGGGCCTGATAAGATCTCTTGGTACCGGCCTTTCGCGGTCTCGGTGACAGCTCGCGTGATTCTCCTGGCTGCACCACTCGCCATTGTCGCCGTACTTGAAGGAACCTACTACATCTCCCGGACACGTCATGGCCTCTCTGATGTTCCATCCAGCGAATATGTGCATCATGCCTGGACCTACCTCCCAACTCTTGTTATGGTTTCCGTCGGCTTCCTCTTCGGAATGCTTGACTGCGAGGTCCGAATTTTCAATCCCTTTCATTGCCTCAGGTTGGGTGGCGCCAGTCCATCGAACTCTGTTCTAGAGAACTATCTAAGCAGAGTTGGCGTCCATGCGCTCTATACGGCCACCAAAAAGCGTCAATACGCGGTCGCCACAACCGCGCTGGCTATGATGCTTGCGCCCTTGTTGGCCATCGTAACTAGTGGTCTTTTCACACCCGCCGTTGTACCTCAAACCACCGACGTATATATTCGGCAGCTTGACCAGTTTCGTGTTAACACAAGCATATCATTTGACCCTAACGACCATTCAGAGAATGGCATGGCGGTTGCGATCCTAACACAATTAAGCAACGTCTCCTATCCTAGCTGGACATATGATAAGTTAGCACTACCAACGATTGAAATTGTGGGTAGTCCCATGGTAAAGAATTTTACGATCCCAGAGGGGCCGGCAAGCAGGCTGCTGGGCGTATTGCCGGCCGCTCAAGGTGTCGCAAATTGCACCGTACTGACACCAGAATTCAACTTTACAGACTGCGGCGACACTTATGTGAACCCTATCGAAGCTAAAGCTCACTTGAGTGAGATAAACTGGACGCCGGGCAGTTGGATTGGACGCTGGTCGTCTAATTTTGACCCGGACGGGTTTGTGACTTATCCAGAGCACTGTCCATGGACACGCGTCACTATCGGACAAGTCTGGCGCACTTACCACGATTTTGAGAATTCTCACATCAGTTCGGAAAATGTGACAAGCATCGGTTGTTGGCCTTATATCCAAACAATTGAAACGGAAACTACGCTCGTCTTGCCAACGCTGAGGCTTGCTGAGGACAGCCCGCCGCATCCAATTGCCGGCAGAGCCATGATATTATCTAATGAGTCTTTCACCAATATCTTTGGGCTTCAGGAATTCTCCTATCAAGACTACAGAACAACAGATGACTTGGACTATTTTTTTTTACTGATGATCAACGGCAGATATGGAGTTCCGTTGGAGAACCTAGTCGGCGCAAATAATGTTAAGACCTTACGAGAAACGGCGGAGGCAACATACAGCCGCATCGTCGCGCAGATTCTACATGCACAGCGGGTCCGCGGACGGGTTTGTGACTTATCCAGAGCACTGTCCATGGACACGCGTCACTATCGGACAAGTCTGGCGCACTTACCACGATTTTGAGAATTCTCACATCAGTTCGGAAAATGTGACAAGCATCGGTTGTTGGCCTTATATCCAAACAATTGAAACGGAAACTACGCTCGTCTTGCCAACGCTGAGGCTTGCTGAGGACAGCCCGCCGCATCCAATTGCCGGCAGAGCCATGATATTATCTAATGAGTCTTTCACCAATATCTTTGGGCTTCAGGAATTCTCCTATCAAGACTACAGAACAACAGATGACTTGGACTATTTTTTTTTACTGATGATCAACGGCAGATATGGAGTTCCGTTGGAGAACCTAGTCGGCGCAAATAATGTTAAGACCTTACGAGAAACGGCGGAGGCAACATACAGCCGCATCGTCGCGCAGATTCTACATGCACAGCGGGTCCGCAGCGAAGAACCACTCGGCACTACCAATGCCACGGTCGTCAACCTAGATCGCCTTCGTTTGCAGCAGAGTGAGATATCCACGCGCATCTTGCAAGCTCTTCTGGCAACGATGGCTCTTTGCGCAGCCATCACCTTCTTCCTGATGGATACGCGGAGAGTGCTGCCAAAGAACCCATGCAGCATTGCGGCTGTGGCGAGTTTACTTGCTGGCTCGGAAATGCTGGGGAAGGATGTCATTCCGGAGGGCTCGGAGTGGTGCAGTGAGCGGGAGCTAAGAGATAAAGTATTTGCGGGATGGGTATTTAGTATAGGGTGGTGGGACAAAGAGAAAGATGGGAGGGAAGGCAGGAGGTTTGGGATTGATGTTGCGAGGGCGGATGAGCGGCAAGTTCAGGAGGATGAGCATGATGAGCCAGGAATAAACCAAAGGACCTAACGTCCTCAGCGGGAGGTTCCCGATGAAGAATCAGAAGTGTCATTCGCGTCCGGAGAAGAGTCCGATTATCACGAAAGAGATACTAGCACTCCAACAGTAGTCGAAGGCGGCCAAGTTAACACGCTAGATAGAGATGATATCTCTACCTTACCCGACACCACAGACGCGGAGCTGGAATCTGAAAGACGGACAGCTCTTGACGACGATCTAAACGATAATGCTATTAATCACGAGATGAACTATCCTGCACCCCATAAGGAACTGGGTCCTAGACCGGAACTGGTCGCGACGCGCTACCCAAGTGCTTCCGGTCAGGATTAACTCGTGAGTGCTCCAATCGGTGCAGGACTAAGGTAGTTTCGGCATCTCGCAGCTTAGAAGGCAAGCCTTTCTGACATCGTTCTTCATGTAGACTGGTCAAGCGAACTCAAACCGTCTGTACGCCAGCTCCCGCCACGGTCAGGTCTGCTCCGGAAAGCTACAAGCCAAGTAGAAGCCAAAGGGGAGTGCCTTCCCAAACCCGCAAGGTCCTCACATTTTATCCAAGGGATTTACAGACCGAGTCGCTGCACTCAACGCTCACTAACAGCTCAGGAAAATATTCTCATATTTGAACAAGACCACAGCAAGATGCCTCGGGCCGCTCAGCGGCAAAGATAGAGACGTGCGGCGAACTCTGAACAGGGTGTGAGCAAGAAGACTTCAAAGGGAGGAGGATCTTTACTTGGGACGCCGGGTTCTTCCTGCCTTGTCAGTGGAAGGTCAGGGAATGAAGCCCAAATCAACTGATTGTGAAGGCGTGTGGTGTTATTGGCTGATTATGATCTCTACGCTCAAGCCGCTTGGTCACGTGGGTAATCGACAAGTATTCATACTACGAGAACAGAGACACGCAGGGTGTTGATGAGTTTGTGGTTTTGGAAGTGGGAGGATTTGTGGGAGTGACGGTGGATGAGAGCGCGTGAGGGTTTATGTCAGGTTTGAAATGGAAGACTTTGTGCGTGAGAAAAAAAGGCTCAAGATGTGGAAGCAAAGGAAAGAGTATGTATTTCACACAGACTCGCAGTGGGAGAAAACTATGGTTATAGGATTCTACACGACGGTAGCGATGAGGGAAGCCGGGGGCTAATTCTGCATTATTGGGTTTTAGTTGAATATTGCGTAGAGTATATTGAGAATGAACCGAGCAAACGGGTACTTCAGCACCGTGATGGGTTAATTGTAGTGTCTACGAGCGTCCTATCCGCGAATGTGTAAATACGCACAAGAACGCCCACCACCCCTTAGGAAAACGCCTCAGCCATGCCTTTTCCCCCTAGCGCCTGAGAACCAAAAACAAGCAACACTCCCTTTACCCCAAATGCCAGTCGTGTCACCGATATCCTAAAAGCTCAATCCGATCCAGCTCATCCCCATCATCCATATCGGCATCATCGTCCTCATTCGAATACTCCCCCTCATCCATCTCCTCGTCGCTCTCCTCGCTCCCATCGTCCTCCTGCCCTTCCCCCTCCTCACCACCGCCCCCTGCCCTCCCCTCCTCTCCCTCCTCATCCGCATCCGCATCCGTCATAGCCACATCCCCACCCTCGATATACCTCCTAATGGGCGACAAGCTCCGACTCATCCGCGCCAGCATCCCGTACGCCAGCTCGCGGCCGTTCTCCACGGCCGCCATGGCCGAAATCGCCGTCGCCGACGCCGGCCGCGACCGCTCGGCGGCCCGCTCCTCGGCCGCGCTGAGGAAATACGAGCCTGACGGTCGGCGCACTTCCCGGAACGTGGCGGGCGCGAGCCGGCGCACGGGCTGCGGGGTTAGGACTGCGGGTGGGAGGTTGGTGCCGAGGGAGATGGTTGGGGCTTCGGTTCCCTCTTCCTCCTGCTGCTGCTGCTGCTGCTGCTGTTGCTGTTGCTGTTGCTGTTGCTGGCCCGGCGGAGGTGGCAGACACTGCTCCCCTCCGCTGAGCAACTGCAGCTCATTCGTGTTGAAGCTGTCGCACGTCGCGCACTTGTTCCCGACCCAGTGGTACTTGACACTACTTTTCGCCGAGCAGTCGTTACACTACACCACCACCCTAGTGTCCGCGAACTGGGGCGGCATGGGCTGCGCGTTGGTGGCGTCCTTGAGCTTCCGCCACTGCAGTTCCATGTTCACGGCGGACTTCTTGCAGATCGGGCACTTGTAGTCGGTCTCCATGTAGCTCTCGTAGCACGTCCGGTGCATGTAGTGTCCGCATTTGATGGAGACCGCCGAGGTCGACGACGTGAAGAGGTAATCCCCGCAGATGGGGCAGTCGCAGTCGGTGGCGCGCTCAATGCAGTGGTGGGTGCTGGCGTAGGCGATGGAGATGCAGACGTTGCATTTCTGGGGCATATCTAGTCAACAAAATGCTTCAACATAGGGGCGATAGATGTAGTAGGTATATGTATTTGTATATGTCTGCATGTGTGTTTTGGGGGAAGGGGAGGATGAATATGAGGCTGATTACCTTGCAATGAATAAAATCCTTCCCCAGCCCCACCCCCCGTCTACAAATCCCACAATCCTCGCAGTGATAGATCCTCTTACTACTATCGTCGTCCCACAGCTTGCAGATCCCGCAATAATACCACGCGGCCAGTTGCCGGCAGTTCGCGCAGCACCCCCCTGCCGGCTGCGGCGTCGCGCACAGCATGCACAGCATATTCTACGTCGTGTGCCGGTTGAGCCGGTGGTCCTCAGCGCCGTCGTGGCAGTGGCGGCACGGGTACCAGCGCCGGCAGTCGAAGCACTGCACCTTGACATTGCGCTTGTAGTGCTCGCAGCCCAGCTCTTGGGGCTGCTCTTCTGAGTCGTCGTGGCCGTCGTCTTCGATTTGCATGTCCTAGTCGGGTTGGCCGGTGTGTCGGGGCCGGAAGGAGGGCTCGAGGTCTTTTAGCGTGACGTTAAAGGGGTTGGAAGGGTCGGTGACTGAATAGACAGACACGGGCGAGGAAGGCTATCCAGCATTCCCCTCAAGCATCGAGCTGGTCGAAGCCGGCGTATGCGGCCTCTCGCTTAACGTGATACTCGACGGGCTCTGCGCCCTCAGCAGATAAGCGTGGGAGGCCTGGTACCGCTCCATCATAAGCAGATGCATCCGTCTCGCCTTCTCCTCGCTGCTCGCCTCCATATCCCTTATCGCGTGGATCTTCTGCCGCAGCACCCTCATCCCGTCGTCCTCCGGTAAGGTGTCAGACATGTGCGCCATGTTTGTACCATTACCGCTCTCGCCCTGCGCGCTGCAGCCGGTGTTGGCTCGTAATCTGCCCCCAGCACTGCTCGCGCTGTCCCGCGGCGACTGGCCGTCGGCTATATTAATGCTGTCGCGGAAGCGCTCTGCTACGCCGTACGACGGGTTATAGGACATGTAGTCATCTGTGTGTTCCCTTTCCCTCAATGACGCAGGAGTGGCCCTGGGTGACTGGGTGAGGCGACCATACTCGGGGAGGACGATGGCGCGGGGAATAGCTGGGCGCGGCGGAGATGCAGGCGGAGCTGTAGGCGCGGTTGCTGAGAAAGCGGCGGCAGCAGAGGCATTTTCCGGAACAGCGGTGGGAAGCGCCTCGATCTCGATCTCGGCGGTGGTGGTGGGCCCTGAAGCGGTCAAGGTGTCATGCCTCCTCAGCGGCGGGGGCGGGGTGCTTGCGGCGTTGCTTCTGGCTGTTCCATCCTGGCTCGCATGTGATAGTGACAGTGACAGTGGCAGCGACCTGCGCGAGGGTACCGCCTCCTCCTCTGTTCTGTGGGCGGGCGCTCTGAGAATCTGCGGGCTTGGCGGACGACGGGCTCGATGATGAACGAGGAGATGAGGCTGCTTATGGGGCGCTGTTTCGTGCAGTTTCCTGACCCATCTGAAGAGGAAGGACTTCAGAAGTGGGTTATGGGTTGTAAGTTGTAGAGTTCCAAGCTCCCGGCAAAAACTTGGTTAAGGAACATGGATCCAGCCTAGGCGCCACAAGGAAAAATCTCCGCCGTGGGGCTCGACCATCGTGCTGCTTACGATGAAGCTGTATGGTAGTGCCGGAATTGTTCAAGAAACGGAGTAGTGCTGTTTTCCTTGAGTCTAGTACTCTCTGCATTCGAATAGCAGTCCTATCTAACGTGTGCTGGCCAGCTCCAAGGTTCCAAGGTAAGCTAACCCTCAAGACAGCCCAGCTATGCCTCAGTCCTCGGCAGCAGTCGCCCTCTTCCGCCACGACTTGAGAGCCGCACCATAGCTCTCTGCCTTAGCCCGCTCTTCGTTGCCGGACAAGCCAAACACTGAACCGTTCCCACCGTCCCCATCCCTAACGCTATCCACCCCTCCACCTCTTCCCAACTCCACCAACGGCACCATAGATGGCCGTCCATGGGCACACTGGAACGGGAACGCACAATCAGCCAACCGCTTCACTAACACCCTGCACTGCTCGATAGACTATAAAATATTAAAATTCGTACTTAGATAATTCTTGATTAAAAAAAAAAAGGTAGTAACCTTTAATCCGCTAATAATAGTTATAGACTTATTGATTTGTTAATAAAACACTAACTACCTACTACTATTAATAGATGTTATTCTAGGTCGATATAGATACTCTTTAAAGGCTTTAATCTTAGAGGAATTTTGATATAGTTAAAAACATACTAAATATATCTCTAGATTCTCTCTAGACTTTTATTAACTAGATTCTATCTCTCTTTATATCTTTTTTCTATTACTTTGTTTTCTATATTTTCTTTATCTCTTTTCTAGACTTTATTATTCTCTAAGCTCTCTGCCATATCTACTATCTTCTATTCTTCTTCTAATAGAGCTTCTATATTCTTTAGAGAATCTACTACTTCTCTTTAAGTTTCTAGAGGCTCTTCTAGCGTTTTTTATAGGTAGAATTATTTTAGCCTATTTTTCGATATTATCCCCTTTAGTTTTACTCTATCTAGCTCTTTTAGAATATAAATTTCTCTTTTATAGATAGTTTTTCTTACCTAATAGAATTCTAGCTATTGAAAAAATAGCTTTTTACAGTATATCTTTTTAAGTAAAGAGTTATATAGTAGTACTAGGTTACTAGTATTTAGCTTATTTATTCTTAGCTATTATATATTATTAAAGTATTCTATATTCTATTTCTAGTACTATTATTACTAGTATAGTAACTTCTCTAGATCTTTCTTATAATATTTAATTTATTATACCTTTAGCTTAAAAAGATCTATTATAGTATAGAAATTTAAATAGTCTAGTATCTTTAAGACTAGTACTTTAAGCTTAATAAGTATTATATGTTTATTACTATATATTATTCTTGTAGGTATTATACTAATTATAGATTATATAGTTATATAATCTATCTATAAAATAGTAATAAAGTACTATATCTATTTTTTCTAAATTACTCTTTCTCTTATTAACTCTCAAAGAGTATTAATAACTAGGTAATATTCTTACTCTACTATTCTATTTATATATAGAAAATCTACAAATACTATAAGTCTTCTAATCCCTACTAGTGTAAGTAGTTTCTTTATATTAGATTTATTCTCTAACCTTCTATCTATAATAATCTTGAATAGATATCTATATCTTATAAGAATATTCTTATAGATAAACTTAGTAATATAAGCTATACTATCTACTCTAAAAGCTTGATCTTTAATCTACTCTAAAAGATTCTCTATAGTTAATATAAGGTAGTTTTTATCTTCTAATACTAGTATACTATTTCTTGTATAGATAAGATATCTAGATTAGATATAATTCTTTATTCTATCCTCTTAGAGCTTCTATTTAGTGCTATAAGCACGTTTTATTATGCTTTTTAATATCTATAAAACCTCTATTCCACTAGTAACAATCTATAGTATAATAATAAAATACTTTTTTATCTTTTATAGCTGGACTTATTATATATTTCTTTAATAATATATTAACACTTATTTTCCTAGTTAGCTATATATCTTAGTAGTTAGTTCTTAGTTACTCTTCTAAATAGATACTTATTACGCACCAAATACTTAATAGCTTTTTTTTAAAAAATTGTAAACTCTATCTTAAATATACTTTCCGAATTTTATATTATAGTAAGATATTTAGCGATCTTCTATATCTCTTTAGAATATTCTTTTTTCAGAGGCTTTTCATTAGTCTATTCGACTTGATAAATGTAAGTATATAATTATTTAGCGTTAATAGAGTTATTTATATCTTATTTAATTACGGCTAGAGGGTTCTTCGCACTAATTAGTCTTTATAATAGGCTATTTACTACTCTATTCTTTTCTCTAGAGATGTATTATATATAAAAATTCTATAGCTAGATCTAGGCTAACTATTAAATAACAAATACGTCTAGTAGATTAGTTACTATATAGTTAAGCTATATAACTAGTATATTAGTATTAGTTTTAACTATAAATTGCATTCTATAGAGCTATATTTAAAACTTCTTTAAAATATGTAGTAATCTATAATATTTATGCTTATTTATAATATACTTCTATTCTAAAGAAACTAGAGCCCGCTATTATACTCATAGAGATATTATTTATAATTTTTACTAATCTATATTAGTACTACTCTCTAGCTTTTATTGCTTATATATATTACTAGAGTAATTTCTCGAGTATCTTTTATACAGTTAAATGGAATAAAATTAGAAGTTAATATTAGCTTTTCCTTTAGAGTATTTATTATCTCCTTTACTCTAGTTTCTATTTAAACAGCTTATTAGCTTAGAAAAGGCAAAAGATTCGCTTAGTAATAGTTAAAAAGTGTTTAATCTAGATATAATAGTATATATAGATTCTTATAAAAGCTTATACTATTCTAGCTATTCTATAGAGATTCTAGTTAATAATAGTAGTAACTTTCATCTTATCTAGATACTAGTCTTTTATATTATAGAGGAATCTAATAATCTTAATTTTTAGTATATATAATTAAAATTTCTCTCTAGATATTAAATATCTAGCGCGTTTAAAATCAGCTAATATATAATCTAATAACTTGATATACACTATAATGAACTTTTAAATACTAGAGAGTATATTTTTATTATTATATATAGATCGCGGTCTTTTAACGCTAATATTATTAAGAAATAAGAGATAGTTATATAGAGTATTATTATATAGAATCTTTATAAATATCTATATGAATTATATAATCAAGTCGATTACTCCTTATAGAAGGATTATTATATAGTATAGACTAATTAGAGTCTAGAAAGCTATTAGATTTCTATAATATTCTATTAATAGAATCTAATTATATTCTAAAAAGAAGTTAATAATACTTATAATTACGTTTTCTATATAATATTCTAAGAATTTATTAGAACTTAGTTGTAGATTTATATTATAGATAATTACCCTATTAATATTTATTACTACATTAATTAATTTAACTCACTATTTTTCTTTTTAACTAGTAACTATAAACTATAATATAGGCTATAATAGAGTTCTAGTACTCTATTCTCTAGATATTTCTTAGTTATTTATACTTTTCTATATAAAGCTTCTTTAGAACTAGAGAGTATAGTACTATTTAGATTTTGTACTTAATTATCTAGGTCTTTTGAAGAGGCACTACTTTTGATTTAATTCAATTAATCTTACTCTATATTTATAAGAAAGCTCTTTTATAATTAAATATTATTATTTTAAAGTGCTTTTTTTCTTCTACTTGTAAGCTTTTACTAATAATTATCTTCTTAAATTTTTCTAAGGTTGTTTTTGCTCCTCAAACTAGCTCTAAAATATTTAGTATTAATTATAAATGAACTAATTCTTTCTTTTACTAATATACTATTCTTTTTACTTTCTTAATAGCCTTCTACTTCTAATTTATAGCTCCTTCTAGAAATATACTATCTATTTTATCTATTATTATAAACCTAATCTTTATTCTCACTATTTTATATAGGGTATTAATATAGTATCCTCTTTATTATAATCTTTCTCTCTCTACTTTCTAAATTCCTCTAATATTAAAGATATTATATCTCTTTGAAAATCAATCTCTATAATAGACTAGTATTTCTTTAGAGCTTTATTAAGTATTATTATTATTATTATAGCTATACTAAGTTTAGATATTTAAAAGTTGTTTTAGGTAGAAAATCCCTAAAAAAGCTTTACTATTCATCACTTTAGAGAAAGCGTGGCTATTATTTCTTTTAATATAGCTAAACCACCTCTAGATCTTTAAAATTCTAAATCTACTTACTTATTTAATATTAAGTAAACTTTATATCTCCGCTCTATACTAGCTATATAATTCTCTAAATATCTTTATTCTAAAGCTAAAGATTCTTATACTAGTTTATATTCCTTTATAGATTTATTTCTAGCTAGTAATTTACTATCTCTTGTAAATTTATTATATTAATATAGTAGAAAGCTTTATTAAGAACTTCCTTTGCTTTTATTACAATAATCTACACTTTTGTTCTTTCTTCTAGTAAGGTAAATTTATCTATAACTATCCTCTTAAATCTATAGTTTAAATCAACTAATATATAATAGTAGAATAGCTCCTTAAGAATTACCTTTCAAAACACCTTTTTAACTACTAGAAATGGAATATTTATAATAATTTTACTTATATA